AAGAGATTGAGACCACCCTGGTCAACATGGTGAAAGCCCGTCTCTACTAAAAATACAAAAATTAGCTGGGCATGGTGGTGCGTGCCTGTAGTCCCAGCTACTCGGGAGGCTGAGGCAGGAGAATTGCTTGAACCCAGGAGGCGGAAGTTGCAGTGAGCTGAGATCGCGCCATTGCACTCCAGCCTGGGTAACAAGAGGGAAACTGTCTCCAAAAAAAAAAAAAAAAAAAAAGTTGGAGAAGCCCCAAATTTACATACATTTTGAGTCTATTTATTTATTTATTTATTTTTGAGGTAGAGTATCCCTCTGTCACCCAGGCTGGAGTGCAGTGGCGCAATCTTGGCTCACTGCAACCTCCGCCTCCCGGGTTCAATCAAGTCCCCTGCCTCAGCCCCCAGAGTAGCTGGGATTACAGGAGCACGCTACCACACCCAGCTAATTTTTAGTATATTTAGTAAAGACGGGGTTTCACCTTGTTAGCCAGGGTGGTCTCAATCTCCTGACCTTTTGATCTGCCCGCCTCAGCCTCCCAAAGTGCTGGGATTACAGGTGTGAGCCACTGTACCTGGCCATTGAATCAAACTTCTAAAGCAGGGAGATTCTGAAGTCTCCCATCTGGTTCTCAAAGCAACCCAGGATGCCTGGGCCAGAGCGTGAATAACCGGCCCATTCTCCAAGCACGGAACCCTGCGTTGGCTTGAGCTGAGAATCCAGTTGGCAGATCCAGGGCCTGGTGACTCCAGCAGGCAGGAAATAGAGAGGCTTTAGCGATCTGGTCTGTCTTTTGGAAGTCCCAGTTTAATCCTGGGCTTCTCAACCAACACTAACAGGTCTGCAAAGGGAGGCCGAGAAGAAGGGAGGCGCCCAGCCTGGCTGCAGGGCCCTGGGAGGCTCCAGGGTGTGAGCCTCGAGCTCTGCCACTGGCAAGCAGACCCAGTGGCTTCCGGCCATGCCCTCTGCGGAAGAGTGGAGATTTACAAGGACACCCTTATCTCTGCTCTGCATGGCTCCAGGGCCAAGGTCAAGCACTGTCGTCTCCAAGAGACTCAGCTCCCCCTGAGCTCCCGCAGCCTCACTGGGAAATGACAATGATCAAGGCTGCAACCTCAACAGATTGTGGTGGGGATGATGGGCTCAGGGCATGGCTCTCAGTAAAGGCACCAAGTGAACGCTAACTATTGTGGGGACAGTGACACGTGCCCACATGTCCCCTTAGGTTGAGGTATGACTTCCCGTGCCCGCCACCCACCCCACCAGCTAAGGACTCATGGAGACAGCAGGTCACTATCTAAGCCCTGCCTCCACTGTCTCCCGAACCCGAGTCCCTTGTAGCACTGAGGTTCAAGGCCTTCACTATCTTTTGGGTAATTTTCTTTTTTTTTTTTTTTTTTTGAGATGGAGTTTCACTCTTGTTACCCAGGCTGGAGTGCAATGGCGCGATCTCCGCTCACCGCAACCTCCGCCTCCTGGGTTCAAGCAATTCTCCTGCCTCAGCCTCCTGAGTAGCTGGGATTACAGGCACGCGCCACCATGCCCAGCTAGTTTTTTGTATTTTTAGTAGAGACGGGGTTTCCCCATGTTGACCAGGATGGTCTCGATCTCTCAACCTTGTGATCCACCCGCCTCGGCCTCCCAAAGTGCTGGGATTACAGGCTTGAGCCACCGCGCCCGGCCTAATTTTCTTCTTCTTCTATTTTTTTTTTTTTTTTTGAGACGGAGTTTCGCTCTTGTTACCCAGGCTGGAGTGCAATGGCGCAATCTCGGCTCACCGCAACCTCCACCTCCTGGGTTCAGGCAATTCTCCTGCCTCAGCCTCCTGAGTAGCTGGGATTACAGGCACGTGCCACCATGCCCAGCTATTTTTTTTGTATTTTTAGTAGAGACGGGGTTTCACCATGTTGACCGGGATGGTCTCGATCTCTTGACCTTGTGATCCACCCGCCTCGGCCTCCCAAAGTGCTGGGATTACAGGCGTGAGCCACCGCGCCCGGCCTTTTTTTTTTTTTTTTTTTTTTGAGAGACAGAGTCTTGCTCTGTTGCCCAGACTGGAATGCAATGGCATGATCACAGCTCACTGCAGCCTTGACCCAACCTCCTGGGCTCAAGCAATCCTCCCACGTCAGCTTCCTGAATAGCTGGGCCTACAGCCACGAACCCCCACACCCTGCTCATTCTTTTTATTTTTTTTGCAGAGTTGTGTGTGGTCTAGCAATGCAGCCCAGGCTGGTCTCGGACTCCTGAGCTCAGGAGATCCTCCACTTCAGCCTCCCAAAGTGCTGAGATTACAAATTCGAGTTACGGCAGCCAGACCACTTTGGGTAATTTTTCTTCTCTTTTCTTTTTTTTGAAAATCTCATGCTTTCACCCAGGCTGGAGTGCAGTGGTGCGATCTCAGCTCACTGAAACCTCTGCCTCCTGGGTAAAGAGCAATTCTCCTGCCTCAGCCTCCTGAGTAGCTGAGCCTACAGGTGCCTGCCACCTAATTTTTGTGTGTTTTTGGTAGAGACAGGATTTTACCATGTTGGTCAGGCTGATCTCCAACTCCTGACCTTAGGTGATTTGCCCAATTTGGCCTCCCAAAGTGCTGGGATTACAGGAGTGAGCCACCACATTTTTCATGATCGGATTTATCTGCCAAGATTTTCAAATGCCTCTCAAGTTAACAAATTCTTATTCCTTGAATGCTGGGAACTGACAAGAATACTGTTTGCTCCACAGCATAATCAGCATAAATTCATTTTGTGCTTGGCTTTGGAAATGCCATGGGTCCCCAACACTGTCTGAGGTAGAGATGTCCCAGGCCAGTGGTTCCACCTCTTCCCCGCTCTTGGATGGGTCCTGCTGCTAGTCCCAGGGACCGTCACCTCCCAGGAGTCTGTGGTGCCCCTCCTGCGCCGACCTCTGCCATCGCCTCCATCCCGTCCCCTGCAGCCCACGTGGGATGCCCGGGATGCCGCTCCCTCTCCCGGGTGAAGGCCCTCAGCACTATCACCACCTGCCTTGTCCGCCCCATCTTTCCCACTCCCTCTCACCTCCCGCTGTCCCCTGGATCCTCTGAACTGACTGCTCTCTGGCATATTTTCAAGTCTCTGGGGTTCCTTCATATGGTGCTTACTGACCCAGGAAGCCTCTGCCTTGCCAGGCACGGTGGTTCATGACTGTAATCCCAGCACTTTGGGAGGCGAAGGCGGGTGGATCACCTAAGGTCAGGAGTTCAACACCAGCCTGCCCAACATGGTGAAACCCCATCTCTACTAAAACTACAAAAAAAAAAAAAAAAAAAAAAAAAAAAGCCAGGTGTGGTGCTATACACCTGCAGTCCCAGCTACTCGGGAGGCTGAGACAGGAGAATTGCTTGAACCCGGGAGGCAGAGGTTGCAGTGAGCCGAGAAGGCCCCACTGCACTCCAGCCTGGGTGACAGAGTGAGACTCTGTCTCAAAAAGAAAAGAAGGCCGGGCACGGTGGCTCAAACCTGTAATCCCAGCACTTTGGGAGGCCGAGGCGGGTGGATCACAAGGTCGAGAAATCGAGACCATCCTGGTCAACATTCTGAAACCCCGTCTCTACTAAAAAAAAAAATACAAAAAATTAGCTGGGCATGGTGGCACATGCCTGTAATCCCAGCTACTCAGGAGGCTGAGGCAGGAGAATTGCCTGAACCCAGGAGGCGGAGGTTGCGGTGAGCCGAGATCGCGCCATTGCACTCCAGCCTGGGTAACAAGAGCGAAACTCCGTCTCAAAAAAAAAAAAAAGAAAAAAAAAAAAGATGGAGGCCCAGTGCAGTGGCTCACACCTATAATCCCAGCACCGGTACTTTGGGAGGCCAAGGTGGAGGATCGCTTGAGCCCAGGAGTTCAAGACCAGCCCGGGCAATATAGTGTCTCTACAAAATTTTAAAAAAATATATATAGCCAGGCGTGATGGCATATGCCTGTAGTCCCAGCTACTTGGGAGGCTGAGGCAGGAGGACTGATTGAGCCCAGGAGGTTGAGGCTGCAGTGAGCTATGATGGTGCCACTGCACTCCAGCTTGGATGACAGAGCAAGACTCTGTCTCAAAAATAAATAAAAGTAAAATTAAAAACAAAACAAAAAAAAGGGCGGGGTGGCCGGGCGCTATGGCTCACGCCTGTAATCCCAGCTCTTAGGGAGGCAGAGGCGGGAGGATAGCTTGAGCCCAGGAGTTCGAGACCTGCCTGGGCAATATAACGAGACCCCGTTCTCTAAAAAAAAGGAAAAAAAAACAAAAATCCAAAAATAAAAGGGCAGGGTGTGGTGGCTCAAGCCTATAATCCCAGCACTTTGGGAGGCCGAGGCAGGAGGATCATGAGGTCAGGAGTTCGAGACTAGCCTGGCCAAGATGGTGAAACCTTGACTCTACTAAAAGAATGAAAATAATAAATTAGCTGAGCGTGGTCAGAGGCTGAGGCAGAAGAACCACTGGAACCCAGGAAGCAGAGGCTGCAGTGGGCCAAAAAGGCATCACTGTACTCAAGCCTGGGCAACGGAGCGAGACTCCATCCCAAAACACAAAACAAACCCAAAACCTAAAATGCAATTACACACACACACACACAAAACAAAACAAAAAAACAAAAAACAAAACAAAAAAAAAGAATTGCAGTAAGGTCAGAAAGGCCTCGGTTCAAATCCTGACTCCCCATCTACTAGCTCTGCGGTGTGGCAACAACGGCAAGCACCTGGCGGGCTTGTGAGAGAATTAAGCGGGATGACTCACAGTAGGGCCGGGGCAATCACTCAAACAGTATCAGGAGTGAGGACGCTAAGCTCAGCCACCGGCCCCTGCACCCCCGGCTCCTCTAGATGCCGCTCTCCACAGAGCCCCCTGAGCCCCACAGGGGACGTGGCGAGGTCCCACCCTAACCTCTGCGCTCCTGGAGGACAGGCCTGTGGCACCGCCGCCTCCTAGTTCCACGCAAACGCACTTCCCTCCGCCAGCCTCCAGCAGAGGCCCAGGAGGTCCCCGCAGGCCCCCTCACCTGAGGTCCCTCAGCCGCTTGCAGTGCTTCAACATGTCCGAGAGCGCGGGCATGTACACCACCTTCCCCATCATGCCCAGGTTGGCCAGCGACAGGGATCGCAGCTGCTGGCACTGCAGGCCGATACTGACCAGCCCGGAGCCCGTCAGGACGCTGGGCAGCTGTGCGAGCGTCAGGTGCCGCAGGAAGGCCAGCTGACCGATGGCAGCCACCTCCGAGTCCCCGACGCTCTGCGCGCGGCTGCAGGGCGGGAGCGAGTTGCGGATGGCCGGCTCGTTGCGCGGCATGGCAGAGGAGAAGTTGGACCCGATCAGCTCGAGGTGTTCCAGGAAGGGCAGGTTCTTCAGCAGAGACCAGAACACTGATGAGGGCTGGGGGCCCGCCTGGCCCGAGAAGGGGCTAGGACAGGACTGCACGCCCACGCGCACTTTCTTGCCGAAGCCCCGCGGCACGGCATGCATGGCGGGCTGGGCGGGTGCGCGGTCCGCACGCGGCGCAGAGTCGGCGACTGAGCAGACTGGTAGGGAGAGGGAACGCAGGTGACGCAGCCGGGCCAGGAGCTGGCAGAGGTGGCGGCCCAGGCCCTCAGAGCTGTGGTGGTGGGCAGCCGAGAGGTTCAGGTGGCGCAGGTTGCAGCAGGACGCCACCAGCGTCTCCAGGATGCTGCTGTCAATGTCGTCCTCCGCCTTGCGCAGCAGGGAGTCCGGGGACAGGCAGTGGACGCAGCCGCTGAGGTTCAGGCTGGCCAGGCTCCGCAGGTCCTTCCCGCCGTTGATGACCTGCTGGATCAGGTGACCTCCCGACAAGGTGCAACGGCTGAAGCTGAAGTAGAACGGGTTGTTGAATTTCATGTGCTGCAGGAGGGAAGAGCCATTCAGCCAGGACTTGGGCAGCTGCAGAGCGTCCAGCGCGACATTGCGCGCCATCGAGTCCAGGAGGTTCTTGGTGGCACCGCTCTCTGCGAAGCTGCCAGGGACGGAGATGAGGAAGGCGTGGAGGTTCTGGGGCGTGCGGTCGCTAAGCACAGCCAGGTACAACCGCACCACCTCCTGGTTGATGTAGCCGGGAGCCAGGCGCGCGTAGAAGACGCGCAGGTTCTGGTAGTGCGGCACGTTGCTCTGGCCCACCATGAGCTGGCCCGAGAGGATGGCGCCCTCGCGCGTGCGGTCCAGGATCTCGAAGTAGAGCAGCAGCTTCTCCAGGCTGGTGCAGCAGGGCACCACGCCGTAGGAGGGCGTGAACAGCGTCTGCTTGAGCTCCCGCACGCGGCTCAGCGTGGCCTTGCACTCGCTGCTCAGCTGGCTGGCGTCGAAGCCGGGGCTCACGTCGATGGCCAGCGAGCGCAAATGCTGCAGGGCCGAGAGCATCTTGGAGAGGCGCAGGGAGGTGAGACGGCAGCCCGAGAGGTTCACTTTCACCAGGCTGCGGCAGCGGGCCACGTGCTCCACAGTGGAACCGGGCAGCCAATAGCAGCCAGCCATGCTCAGCTGCTGGATCTCCCGGCCGATCTCCTTCACCAGCTGCCTCACCTTATCCTCGCTTGCCTGCGGGACAGGGGTGGGGCAGGGAGAGCAAGGAAAGGGCTGAAGACACCTGGGGGTCTCCAACCCTCAGTGCACATGCTCCCCCTGCGGCAGCTGCTCCACCGGGAGGGAAGCTTCCCACCTCTTCCCTGCCCACCTGCCCTCATGCTGACCTGAAACCAAGAGTTAAGAGTCTTCAGCTAAGTGGGACTGGTAGAGGGGTGCAACCACGGTAGAAAATGGTTTGGAACGCAGCGTGAGGTGGCCCACGCTTGTCACCCCAGCACTTTGGGAAGCCAAGTCAGGCAGATCACCTGAGGTCAGGAGTTCAAGACCAGCCTGACCAACATGGTGAAGCCCCACCTCTACTGAAAATACAAAAATTAGCCAGGCATGGTGGCCTCCACCTGTAATGCCAGCTACTCCAGAGGCAGAAGCAGGAGAATCGCTTGAACCTGGGAGGTGGAGATTGCAGTGAGCCAAGATCTCACCACTATACTCCAGCCTAGGCAACAGAGAGATACTGTCTCACAAAGAGAAAAAAAAAGGCCAGGTGCAGTGGCTCACGCCTGTCATCCCAGCACTTTGGGAGACTGAGGCAGGTGGATCACGAAGTCAGGAGTTCTAGGCCATCCTGGCCAACAGGGTGAAACCCCATCTCTACTAAAAATACAAAAATTAGCTGGGCGTGGTGGCCTGCACCTGTAATCCCAGCTACTCAGGAGGCTGAGGCAGGAGAATCGCTTCAACCTGAAAGGCAAAGGTTGCAGTGAGCTGAGATAGTTGCCACTCCAGCCTGGGCAACAGAGCAAGACTCCATCAAAGAAAGAAAAGGAAGGAAGGAAGGAAGGAAGGACGGAAGGACGGAAGGAAAGGGCAGGCACAGTGGCTCGCACCTGTAATCTGAGCACTTTGGGAGGCCAAGGTGGGCAGATCACCTGAGGTCAGGGGTTTGAGACCAGCATGACCAGCATGGAGAAACCCCGCCCCTAGTAAAAATACAAAATTAGCTGGGTGTGGTCACGCATGCCTGTAATTCCAGCTACTCTGGGGGCGAGGCAGGAGAATTGCTTGAACCTGGAAGGCAGAGGTTGTGGTGAGATTGCACCATTGCACTCCAGCCTGGGCAACAAGAGTAAAACTCCATCTCAAAAAAAAAAAAAGAAAAGAAAATGATTTGGTGGTTCCTCAAAAAGCTAAACACAGGACTACCATGTAACCCAGCCATTTCACTCCTAGGGCTGGACACAAAGGAACTGAAAGCTGAGACCCAGCCTCCCTACTCTGTGCCTGTTCACTGCAGCAACTTCACAAAAAGCCACAGGTAGAAACAGCCCTGGTGTCCATCAACAGGTAAACGGGAAAACCAAATGCCATCTATCCCCACAGGGAAATGTGATCCAGCCACAAAGAGGAAGGAAGGCTGGGCGCTGCAGCGCACGCCTGTAATCCCAGTACCTTGGAAAGCGGAGGCAAACAGATCGCTTGATCTTAAAGGCTGGAGACCAGCTTGGGCAACATCGCAAGACCCCATATATACCAAAAATATATATATTAGCCAGGCGTGGTGGTGCGCGCCTGTGGTCCAAGCTACTTGGGAGGCTGAAGGGGGAGGATGCCTTGAGCCTGGGAGGTGGAGGTTGCAGTGAGCTGTGATTATGCCACTACACTCCAGCCTGGGTAACAGAAAGGAGACCCAGTCTCAAAAAAAAAAAAAAAAAAAAGGATTCTGCTGGGTGCAGTGGCTCAAGCCTTTAACCCCAACACTTTGGGAGGCCGAGACGAGCAGATCACGAAGTCAAGACATCAATACCATCCTGACCAACGTGGTGAAACCCCAACTCTACTAACAATACAAAAATTAGCTGGGCATGGTAGCACATGCCAGTAGTCCCAGCTACTTGGGAGGCTGAAGCAGGAGTATGGCTTGAGCCTGGGAGGTGGAGGTTGCAGTGAGCTGAGCTGAGACTGCATCACTGCACTCCAGCCTGGGCAACAGAAGCTGTTTTAGACTCTGTTTAAAAAAAAAAAAAAGGGCCGGGCGCGGTGGCTCAAGCCTGTAATCCCAGCACTTTGGGAGGCCGAGGTGGGTGGATCACGAGGTCAAGAGATTGAGACCATCCTGGTCAACATGATGAAACCCCGTCTCTACTAAAAATACAAAAATTAGCTGGGCATGGTGGTACGTGCCTGTAATCCCAGCTACTCAGGAGGCTGAGGCAGGAGAATTGCCTGAACCCAGGAGGCGGAGGTTGCGGTGAGCTGAGATCGCGCCATTGCACTCCAGCCTGGGTAACAAGAGCGAAACTCCGTCTCAAAAAAAAAAGGAAAAAGGAAGAAAGTCCTGGCACATGCTACAACATGGATGTACCTCAAAAGCAGGCAGGACTCCGAGTGAACGAAGCCAGGCACAAAGGTTCAAACAGTGTGGGATTCCATTTATAGGAAATTTCCAGAACAGGCAAATTCACAGAGTAGAATAGCGGTTAGCAGGGGATGCGGGGAGGGGAACGGGAAGTTGTTGCTTAATGGTTTCTGCTGAGGGCGATGAGAAAGTTCTGAAGATGATGGTGGTGATGGCTACGTAACACTGTGAATGTGCTTGATATCACTGATTTGCACACTTACAAACAGTTAAGATGATATATTTTATGTTTGTTTAATCACCATTTTAAAAATGGTTGAAGAGGACCAGACACGATGACTCACGTCTATACTCCCAGCATTTGGGGAAGCCTAGGTGGGGTGATTGCTTGAGCCCAGGAGTTCCAGGACAGCCAGGGTAACATAGCAAGACCCCATCTCTACAAAAATTGTTTTGTTTTTTGAGACAAGGTCTGATTATACTGTCCAGGCTGCAGTACAGTAGGACGATCATAGCTCACTGCAGCCTTAACCTCCCGGGGTTCACGTGATCCTCCCACCTCAGCCTCCTGAGTAGCTGGGACTACAGATGCATGCCACCATGCCAGGCTGATTTTTTGTGTGTGTGTAGAGATGGGGTGTTGTCTTTCACCATGTTGTCCAGACCAGTCTTGAACTTCTGAGCTGATTCGATCCACCTGCCTTGGCCTCCCAAAGTGCAGGCATTATAGGAATGAGCCACCACATCTGGCCAAAAAATTAAATCAAAAAAATGCTCCGGATATACACCGAGAGGCACCGGCTAGGGACACCCAGCCCTTCCTCTACAGGGAACAAAGTTTCATAAACAGGAGGCCTGACACCAGTGTTGCAGGGAGCACCCTCAGCTCCCTCATCCACTGAAGACCCTCCAGCAGAAACATCTAAAGCTTCCTGGGTGCAATGGGTCATGCCTGTAATCCCAGCACTTTGTGAGGCCAAAGCAGGTGGATCACTTGAGATTAGGAGTTCAAGACCAGCCTGGCCAACATGGTGAAACCCCATCTCTACTAAAAATACAAAAGTTACCTGGGTCTGGTGGTGCACAGCTGTAATCTCAGCTACTTGGGAGGCTGAGGCAGGAGAATCGTTTGAACCCAGGAGGAGGAGGTTGCAGTGAGTCAAGATCGTGCCACTGCACTCCAGCCTGGGTGACACAGCGAGACTCCATTTCAAAAAAAAAAAACAAAAGCAAAAGCTCTACAGGGGCCTCATCTGGTGTCAAAGGCTCTGCTTCACAATCAGCAGGAAAAGTCAGGAGCCCTTCCTCTGGTCTCCTAAAATGTGGATAAAGGTCAAGAACATGGAGAACTATTTTTATCTTTAAGACACATTACCAGGCCAGGCATGATGGTTTACACCTGTAATCCCAGCACTTTGGGAGGCCTAGGTGGGTGGATCATCCGAGTTCAGGAGTTCGAGACCAGCCTGGTCAACATGGTGAAACCCAATCTCTACTAAAAATATAAAGCATAGCTGGACGTGGTGGCGCATGCCTATAATCCCAGTTTCTTGAGAGGCTGTGGTAGGAGAATCATTTGAACCTGGAAGGTGGAGGTTGCAGTGAGCTGAGATCCCACTGCTGCATTCCAGCCTGGGTGACAGAGAGAGACTGTCTCAAAAAAAAAAAAAAAAAAAAAAAGGAAGAAGAAGAAGAATGGCTACAACTTTAAAAACTGACAGCATTAAGTGTTGGCAAGGCTGCAGAGTAATCAGAACTCCCACACCCTGCGGGAGAGTCCAGAACGGTGCCCTCCCACTGCACCACTGGAGAGCTACACATTTTCTTTTTTTTTTTGAGCCGGAGTCTCACACTGTTGCCCAGGCTGGAGTGCAATGGTGTGATCTCGGCTCACTGCAACCTCCGCCTCCCATGTTCACATGATTCTCCTGCCTCAGCCTCCTGAGTAGCTGAGATTATAGGCGCACACCATCACACCCGGCAAACTTTTGTATTTTTAGTTCTGTTGGCCAGACTGCCCTTGAACTGACATCGTGATCTGCCTGCCTCAGCCTCCCAAAGTGCTAGGATTACAGGCGTGAGCGCCCCACCAAGAGCTGCACATTTAAATTTACAAGAAATGTCCAACAACTCTCCTGTGACCCAGCAATTCCACTCCTAGGATCTACCAGAAAGCAAGTCTCCCACCCCTGCCTCCCACTCCCAAGGCCCTGAACCATGTCCATATACATCTACGCCCTCCTCCCCAGGCGACACCCCCCCCACACTTTTCTGCCCCTTGCTTCTGCTACTCAATGCATCCTGAAGACAGCTCCAGTCAGGACTTGGAGCGCCTGCCGGCTTGCCATCAGCACACAGGGTTCCACTGCCAAGCTGTGCCCAGTCCTCAAAGGCCGAGGTCTAGTTGTTTCTTTTTTTTTTTTTTGAGACAGAGTCTTGCTGTATCACTGATCCTGGCTCATTGCAACTTCCTTTTTCCAGGTTCAAGCAATGCTCTTGCCTCAGCCTCCCAAGTAGCTGGGACTACAGGCTCGCACCATCACGTCTGGCTAATTTTTTGTATTTTTAGTAGAGACAGGGTTTCACCATGTTGGCCAGGCTGGTATCAATCTCTTGACCTCGTGATCCGCCCGCATTGGCCTCTCAAAGCGCTGGGATGACAGGTGTGAGCCACCGCCCAGCCAGTCTAGGTGGTTTCTGGTCTCCTGCCCCCACCCCTGCTCACCTGATAGTCCTTTTGCAGCAGCACAGTGTGGATGAGGCTCTTGTCAAGGCACAGGGCTGCGAGCTTCCGGCAGGTCCGCCGGACATTCAGAATCAGGTCTGTGCTGGGGACGTGGCTCAGGATGTGAAGGAGGATCTCGTCGGAGAACCCCAGGAGGTGGACCCCGTCCGCCATCCCGGCTGCTGCAGGGTGCATGTCATCATCATCATTGGATATGTCCTGAAAATAATGGAGACACCAAATTCCCACAGGATCCCCAAGGATGGCTACCAGCCTAGCCTGCAGCTAAGGAAAGAAGCAAAGATAAACCCTTATCCCTGTGAAATAAAGTGCTTTTACTAAAAATCTCGGCCAGGCGCGGTGGCTCACGCCTGTAATCCCAGCACTTTGGGAGGCCGAGGCGGGCAGATCACATCAAGAGATCGAGACCATCCTGGCCAACATGGTGAAACCCCATCTCTATTAAAAATACAAAAAAGGGCCGGGCGCGGTGGCTCACACTTGTAATCCCAGCACTTTGGGAGGCTGAGGCGGGTGGATCACGAGGTCAAGAGATCGAGACCATCCTGGTCATCCTGGTGAAACCCCGTCTCTACTAAAAATACAAAAAGTTAGCTGGGCATGGTGGCGCATGCCTGTAATCCCAGCTACTCAGGAGGCTGAGGCAGGAGAATTGCCTGAACCCAGGAGGCGGAGGTTGCGGTGAGCCGAGATCGCGCCATTGCACTCCAGCCTGGGTAACAAAAGCAAAACTCTGTCTCAAAAAAAATATATATATATAAAAAAGTAGCTAGGCGTGGTGGTACACCCCTGTAGTCCCAGCTAATCTGGAGGCTGAGGAAGGAGAATTGCTTGAACCCGGAGGGCAGAGGTTGCGGTGAGCCAAGATCGCACCACTGCACTCCAGCCTGGCACCTGGTGATGGAACGAGACTCTGTCTCAAAAAAAAACTCAACCACACAGCAACGAATTCATGAAATCCTTCAAAACCACCTTTTAGAGCTGTAAGCCATGATCTCTCTTCAAAAATCAAAGATTAGAAAAAAAAATTACGTGGGTTTTTGGTTTTTTTTTTTTTGAGACAGAGTTTTGCTGTTGTTGCCCAGGCTGGTGTGCAATGGCAGGATCTTGGCTCACCGCAATCTCTGCCTCCCAGGTTCAAGCAATTCTGCCTCAGCCCCCGGAGTAGCTGGGATTACAGGTGCCTGCCACCACACCCGACTAATTTTTGTTTTTTTTTTTTTTTTTTTTTTTTTTTTTTGAGACGGAGTTTCGCTCTTGTTACCCAGGCTGGAGTGCAATGGCGCGATCTCGGCTCACCGCAACCTCTGCCTCCTGGGCTCAGGCAATTCTCCTGCCTCAGCCTCCTGAGTAGCTGGGATTACAGGCACGTGCCACCATGCCCAGCTGATTTTTTGTATTTTTAGTAGAGACGGGGTTTCACCATGTTGACCAGGATGGTCTCGATCTCTTGACCTCGTGATCCACCCGCCTCGGCCTCCCAAAGTGCTGGGATTACAGGCTTGAGCCACCGCGCCCGGCAATTTTTGTATTTTTAGTAGAGATGGGGTTTCACCATGTTTGTCAGGCTGGTCTTGAACTCCTCCTAACCCCAGGTGATCCACCTGCCTTGGCCTCCCAAAGTGCTGGGATTACAGGCGTGAACCATCGTGCCCAGCCATCATTATGTGTTTAAAAGAGACTTTTCCTGCTAACGGCCTCCAGTCAAGTCTGGCATGAGGTTAGACTCAATGATAGGACCACTCACCAAGGTTCTCCACTGAGGAAAGCTACTAACCACCCCTCTGTCCCAAATGTCAATTTATGTTCTGGCAAACCCCTGGGTAGGGAAATTCTATCAAGAAACTTTCTGAGTACATCTAGAGCGTCTTCACCTCACTGGGTGCTGTGCCGGCTAAATGAGTTATCATACATAAAGTCTTTGAAACCATGCTGATGACGGATGCTCATTCTACCACTGTCATTAGGATAAGTAAAACCAGAGAAATCGGCCGGCCATGGTGGCTCATGCCTATAATCCAAGCACTTCGGAGGCCAAGGCGGGCGGATCACCTGAGCTCAGGAGTTCAAGACCAGCCATGACCAACATGGTGAAACCCCATCTTAAAAAAAAAGGAAAAAAAAAAAAAAAAGCCACCAGTGATAATGGAACTGGTTGGGCATGGTAGCTCATGCCTGTAATCCCAGCACTTTCGGATGCTGAGGCGGGTGAATCACGCCAGAGGTCAAGATATTGAAACCAGACTGGCCAACACACTGAAACCCCATCTTTACTAAAAATACAGAAAATTAGGCAGTCGTGGTGGTACGTGCCTGTAGTCCCAGCTACTCAGGAGGCCAAGGCAGAAGAATCACTTGAACGCGGAGGTGGAGGTTGCAGAGAGCAGAGATCATGCCACTGTACTCCAGCCTGGGTGACAGAGCAAGACTCCATCTCAAATAAATAAATAAATAGATTATGAAACTATGCAAGTCCTTACAAAGAACAAACAGCACCTACTACACTAGTTTTTTGTTTTGTTTTGTTTTTGTTTTTGTTTTTTTGAGACGGAGTTTCGCTCGTTTCCCAGGCTGGAGTGCAATGGCACGATCTCGGCTCACCGCAACCTCCACCTCCTGGGTTCAGGCAATTCTCCTGCCTCAGCCTCCCGAGTAGCTGGGATTACAGGCATGCGCCACCATGCCCAGCTAATTTTTTGCACGTAGAGACGGGGTTTCACCATGTTGACCAGGATGGTCTCAATCTCTTGACCTCGTGATCCACCCGCCTCGGCCTCCCAAAGTGCTGGGATTACAGGCTTGAGCCACCATGCCCGGCCCACTAATAAAGTTTTTTTATCATTTATTTTTACTTTTTTAGAGACAAGGTCTTGCTCTGTTGCATGGGCCGGACTGCAGTGGCACGATCATAGCTCACTGCAGCCTCCAACTCCTGGGCTCAAGCCATCCTCCTACCTCAACTTTCCAAGTAGCTGACGCTACTGGCACAAACCACTATGCCCAGCCAATGTGTTGGTTTTTGTTGTGGTGGTGTTGATTTTTTTTTTTTTTTTTTTGAGACGGAGTCTTGCTCTATCACCCAGGCTGGAGTGCAGTGGCATGATCTCAGCTCACTGCAACCTCTACCTCCGAGTTCAAGTGATTCCTCTGCCTCGGACTCCCAAGTAGCTGGGACTACAGGCATGCACCACCATGCCTGGCTAATTCTTTGTATTTTTAGTGGTGACGGGGTTTCACCATATTGGCCAGATGATCTTGAACTCCTGACCTCGTGATTCGCCCATCCCAGCCTCCCAAAGTGCTGAGATTACAGGCCTGAGCCACTGTGCCTGCCTGACCTTTTTTTTTTTTTTTTTTTTGAGATGGAGTCTCGCTCTGTCACCCATACTGGCGTGCAGTGGTGCAATCTCAGCTCACTACAACCCCCGCCCCCCAGGTTCAAGCGATTCTCCTGCCTCAGCCTCCTGAGTAGCTGAGATTACAGGCATGTACTACCACACCCAGCTAATTTTTTTGTGTTTTTAGTAGAGACGGGGTTTCACTATGTTAGCCAGGATGGATTCAATCTAACCTCGTGATCCACCCGCCTCAGCCCCAAAGTGGTGGGATTACAGGCATGAGCCACTGCCCCAGGCCTTATGGTTGTGGTTGTTGAGACAGGGTCTCTCACTCTACCTCCCAGGCTGGAGTGCAGTGACACAATCATGGCTCACTGCAGCCTCAAACTCCCAGGCTGAAGAGATCCTCCCACCTCAGCCTCCTGAGTAGCTGGGACTACAGGTGCATGCCACCTCATCCAGTTAGTTTGTTTTTTTTGTAGAGACAGGGTTTCCCTATGCTGCCCAGGCTTATCTCAAACTCCTGGACAATTGATCCTCCTGCCTTGGCCTCTCAAAGTATGTTTTGTTATAATAGAGACAGGATCTTGCTATGCTGCCCACGTTGGTCTTGAACTCCTAGACTCCAGCAATCCTCTGGCCTCAGCCTCCCAAAGTGCTGAGATTACAGGTGTGAGCCACTGCACCTAGCCTTTTGTTTTTTTGTGTGTGTGTGTTTTTTTTTTTGACACAGAGTCTCGCTGTGTTGCACAGGCTGGAGTGCAGTGATGCAATCTTGGTTCACTGCAACCTCCACCTCCCAGGTTCAAGAGATTCTTGTGCCTCAGCCTCCCAAGTAGCTGGGATTAAAGGCATGTGCCACCACACCTACCTAATTTTTGTGTTTTTAGTAGAGACAGCATTTCGCCACATTGATCAGGCTGGTCTTGAACTCCTGGCCTCAAGTGATCTGCCCACCAAAACACTGGCATTACAGGCGGGAGCCCCGCACCCAGCCTGCACATTTCATTTTGCATTGCTGTAGGTATCTGGCAAGTTACAAGGTGTTCTTCCCTAATGTGCGCCTTAAGTCCAAATGCCTGAAGCCTTTTTGGTTTGTATGACAAAGAGGGAGAGGAGCCAAATGTAATGAATGAGACATGAGGTCCCCAAATCAAGGACAAAGAGGCCCAGCTCAGTGGCTCATGCCAGTACTCCCAAGCCACTCAGGAGGCTGAGGCAGGAGAATCACTTGAACCCGGGAGGCAGAGGTTGTAGTGAGCTGAGATCGCACCACTGCACTCCAGCCTGGTGATAGGGTGAGACTGTGTCTCATGGAAAAGGAAGGCAGAAGCCTTTACCAAGGAGAGCAGCTCAGAGTGGCTGCTTTCTGTAAAGATCACGCCCAGGAGAGACTGCTCGGAATCATCTCTCAGCCTGTTTCGGGGACTGTGTCTACATGACCCTCTGGCTCCAGTCCACTCCTGCTTCCTGCTCATATTTGCCTGGATGGAAGCTCTGAGTTTTGGAAAGCCTGGCTGCTGCCATGGCAACCATGAAGCCTGTGGAGAAAGAGCCTGTCTGCACACCCCATACACGTGTCAGAGGTTTCCTGGGAACTCTGACTGACAGTCCTTTCACACTCTCCTGACAGGCTTCCCATCTTGTCGGCCCTCACCAGGCCCTAGAGGAGTCCTGGAATGTCTCCCACCTGTTCTTCCCTGGGAACAAAGACGTGCCCTCCATCCTCCCAGAGAAACCCACACAAACACCAAAGGACATGGTCCCTAAGGAGATTATATTTGTCATGAGGGTCAGAGGTTGGAAACTTACTTCCACCTTCCCTCCTTTGGGAAGGAAGAGGCCTCGGCACACATTAGT